CGACCATCTATTTATTTATTTATTATTTTTTTACATAATAAGATATTTTTAAAGGTTTTTTTTCAAAGAAAACCAATATTTTGGGAAAACTCATGTTATTAAAAAATCTTAATTTTAAAATTAATAGTTTTTTTTAATTATTATTAAATTTCTACGGTAAGCAAAAAATATAATGAAAAGTTTGAAATAAGAATTATAAATTAGAAATAGTACGGGGAGGTTTATAAATTTGTGTTTTTGAGTTTTTACCTCTTTGATATATTATTTTAACATTAAAAAAAATAAGAATTACAATTAAATTTTTATAATAAAAAAATTATTTAAAAAGTTGATTATCCTATATTACCCGACCAATCGACTTTTGAGTAAACTGAAAACCACCGACCGACCCATTTATTTACGGATCGGTTAAAATTGTCGGCCGAAAAAAGCGGATCGAAAGTGGATCGGTTAGTCGATAAAACCGATTCATGCCCAGCCCTACATATATCTATACAACCGATTCATGCGGTTGAAGGGGAGGCGCTGGCGGCGCTTCGAGCACTTGCTTTTGCAAAGGAAATGGACTGGCATGCCATTGTGCTGGAAGGGGACTGTCTCCAAGTCATAACGGCTCTTCCCGAGGGTAACTGTGAATCGACAACTTTTGGTGGCATCATCGAGGAATGTCGAAAGTTAGCTTTATTTTTTCAATCGATTTCCTTTAATTAAACGCCCAGACAATAAGTTGGCTCATGAGCTAGCGTATTTCTCTTTTTTGGCTTGTAATAATCCGATGGAAGGTGTTCACCTCCTCTCGAACTTGGCTGAGTTTGCCTAATGATATTTATTTTTCCATCAAAAAAAAAAAAAAAAAAAACTAACTAACTACCAACTAGGTACATATACATATGAGAGTATTCATTATTATGTGTAGATCAATTTTTCAAGACCACAAAGTAATTCACTAGGTGTAACAACTACAAAACCAGTTTTTTAGGTAGGTCTTGTTAATTTTCTCTTCGTGTTTTGCCGGAATGGATTCTTTCACAGCAAGATATTTCTAACTTTCAAGGAAAATAATTATTTCTTCGCTTTTTCAATTAAGAAAAGTTTTGACTTCTTTTTTTCTTCCTTACAATAGAAAAAAACAAATAAACTTATTGAATTAACTTCTTATTGATGTATTGTTTTATTAAAATTCAATCCAAATTACCCGAGTAAAGATCCACTCGATTTTAATTTGCAGTTTTGCACATATAGGACAAATCTTCCCATCACCATTTCTTTTTATTATGAATTTTTTGAATAACAAACAAAAGATGTCGCGAAAACTACTTCTAATTTAAATTTATGTCGCATAAATTCTCATTCAGGAACTAATATTTTTGGAAATTTCTAAAATCATTTGTGTTTTTTTTTTTTTTTTTTTTTTTTTTGAGTAAATTCAAGTCCATACAAGGGAAAGTAGGGGAGGGGGGACTCGAACCCTAGACCGTTACCCTATTGGTAAAGGCTAGGTACCAACTCTCCTAATGAGGGTTGGTTTTGTGTTTGAAAAAATAATGATAGAATTTTATTTGTATTACTTAAAAAGTATCATTATAACTCCAAATTAAAGATAATATTATATTATTTTTATGTGGAGATATGTTTCTCATAATTGATTTAATTAAATTTTGGGCTAATTGAATTTTGCACCTCCAACTTCCACACACACACACACACAAGAACACTGAGTGAAAAGCATATATTGACGATCTGCAACCTAAAATTTTAGAATTTGCGAAATCCACCCACAAATTATATATCTGAAAAAAAATACACCTTGTAGTTTTCGACCATTATGAAACTCCTGTACACGTTTTAACACACTCATATGTTTATTTGTTTGATTGTATTTATCCAAAAATAGTTAAAACAACCAATTAATTTATACCAATTTAAAATAATTCAGATTATAATACTTTATTTGATGTTTAATTAATTAACTTATCAAGTATTATATATATATTATAAAAAATATAAAAAAAATCTCATTTTTCTTTCTCGTTTCGGGTTTCTCGAACTCTAGCCGGCTCTACTCACTGTTTATTCAAGTGTTATAAGTTATAACCAATGTTGTCAGAACCGGACCGGCTATAGAACCGGACGATTATTTGGGTCATGGGTTTATAGGGTCGAACCGGTTCAACCGGGTTTTTGATTTTTTTTAATATGCCATTATTTTATTAATTTTAATATTTTAAAAATATTATTTCCTTTATATTTTTAATCTCCCACTTATTATTTTCACTCCTATCTACTTCACCTCATTTTTTACTGTATTTTATTGCTTATACTCTATATTTTTCCATTTGTTATTCTTCAAATCCGGCCACATTGAGTATAAACTGTGCACAACATCCCTCAAAAGGATATATTTTGAACTACGTTATGACTTGATCCCTTTATAGGGTACGTAGGACTTAGATATTCTCTAAGTTCAGTCATGATTTCATATATGTAATGTTCTTTGCTAGAGCAAGCTGCAATTGAAGTTAAGCAATTATCGAGACTCATTCACTTCAAGACGCATTGTCCGTGAACAAGTCTCATTTGACCCTGTAGACACATAAAATTAATTAATTGGTTAATTAAATTAGCCAATTAAATTGTGTCTAAATTAAATTTTACCTTGTATTGCAAGACAAGTCATGGAGATAATTATCAATTAATTATTGGCCAATAGGATTATTTCTTCTCTTCCAAGTTATAAGAGATAAATATCAATTTAAAGAGAGCCAATCAAATCGCGCCACGTCATTAGGAAGACTTTAAGTAGGACTCTTATTCTACCACTATAAATAGGGACCCTCCCTACACAATTCAAAACACAACTCAAGAAGGAGAAAAACCGTAGAGAAAATTCTCTCTACAATATTCAAGTCGTTCTTCATCAAATCGAGGGCGTTCTTCATCAAATCGAGGGCGTTCTTCAACAAATCAAGATCGAACAAATCAAGATCGAAGGAAGTTCTTCAACAAATCAAGATCGAACAAATCAAGATCGAAGGAAGATTGAAGGGCCAAATCCATCAAGAACTCCAAGATCTTCAAGTCAAAACCCGTCAAAGTTTAGCGTTTGATCCGAGATTCAAGTCGCAAGACCCTTGCAAGACGTTATTCAAATCCAAATCAAATCCAGAGAAGATCAAGTTAACGACCCGACTCCGAAATTCAAAGTCAAACAAATATTGTTCTTGTGAGAAGAATCAGAGGATTAAATTAGAGTTTGTAACCCGCATTCTTGTTTGTCTAAATCGCCGATAAGAATTTGTTGCTACAGACCCGATTTTCATTTTTCCGGCTTTAGATGTGCTGACCGAGGTCACGAGTCAGAACCAGGTCCGAGCCGACCGAGTTCGAGTCCGAGTTCTAACAACATTGGTTATAACTTATTTCATATTCAAATATGCATATTTAATTATATATTTAGTAATTTTGAATAAAATACAAAACTGCCTTAAAAAAATGAGATGTGCTATTTCCACCCTCAAAATATCTCACTTCACCACCAAATTAAATATATTTCCAATTTTACCCTTTCTTCTTCTTTCACATATATTCTTTACAAATTTATAAACCTTACATGATACATCTACCACTAAACTAATTAAAATATTTATAAAAAAAATCTCACATTTTTCACTGGAAATCTTGCCCTATCCAGCTTAAGTGAATAATACTTTTGTAAGAGAAAAACATTTTCGAAGGTCAAAAAGAGCGGGAATTCACGTTTTTTGAGAAATAAATTAAAATTGCTTGTATGGAAGGTCCTGAACTTCTTCCAGAATCGTCCAGTTTGGATTAATATAATTTCGTTTCCTTAAAAAAAATTACATAATATGTTGGTCATCTGATATGGAAGTTTAAATATCTTGTAATAAATATTTCATTGAAAAAAGTAATTAAAAAATTAATAAAACAGAAATAAAATAGAAATAACGTAGAACACATGAGGATTATGTGAATATAAGCAAGGGTGGTGAATTATAAATTTGAGGGGTATTTATGATATTTTATAAATTTTGGTGGTGAATTGAGATAATTTGATGTGGAAATAGCACCACTCAAAAAAATGAAACTCATTTATTGTAATTTCGGAAAACATAAAATTTAATTAAATTTATGGCTTAACGGGTCATGTTCACTTCTTTGGAAAACGGGTCCAAGTCGGTTTCGGGTTAACCCGACTACCCGTATCCACTTGCAAATCGACCGACCTTTCCTTTTTTCCTCCATTAAAGAGAAACTCGGATAAATCAACACAACTCCGAAAGCAAAGACGGTGAACACAGTAAAATGGGACTGGGTCAACTCGCTTCACGAGCCCTCATCCGATCCGCCCGGCTCTCCACCGCCAAACCCTCCCACCTCCTCCGCCGGACCATCGTTTCCACGCCGGAGCTCCACAACGCCGAAGCCGCTGCCGCGGCGGCACAACCGGAAGTAGATCTCCCGAAGAGGAACCCCGTCGCCGGTGCCCGGGTCCACTTCCCCAACCCGGACGACGCCATCGAGGTGTTTGTCGATGGGTATCCGGTCAAAATCCCCAAGGGAATGACGGTTCTGCAGGCTTGCGAGATCGCCGGCGTCGATATCCCGAGATTCTGTTATCATGACCGCCTTTCCATCGCCGGAAACTGCCGCATGTGCCTCGTGGAGTTCGAGAAATCGCCCAAGCCGGTGGCCTCCTGCGCCATGCCTGCACTACCTGGTAGGCTTCTCATTCTTATGTTTAGTTTGGGATTGTAGAATTTTTGTACATTTGCTTGATTGGTGGTATTAGATTTGGGGATTTTTTTTTGTTTGTTCTATATAATTGGAACTGCTTGTGATCAAATTAAGGGTTTAAACTTTAAAGCTTTGTGGCGTGAATATGACGCAATAAGATTAAGCTTTGATTAGTTTTTTATTATGTGAAGGAATCATAAGCTAGCTAATGTCGATGTTTTTGTGATTGATCAGGTTTTAATTTTTGTAGATTTATGTGGATACTGAGTGCTTAGGTTTAGTGATTTCTGTTACTTTTACGAGGAAAGACTGTTTTTTTTATGAAGTGATTGGTCTTGGTAAGCCATTTTTAACTGAGATATATTTGGAGTAAGGTTATTTTATTACTTTTTTGTAGTTAGGATAGGTGATAATTTGTTTCGACGAGGAGGGAAAAGGTAGATATATTATATGTTACAGTTCCAGCATTCTTCCTTATTTTGATATCTCCAGTTTCTGAATTTAAGTAAATTTGGTTGTTATCCATAGCAATGATCAAATGGGTGTTGAACTTTTGTAGAGAAATATATACGGCTTAGGATTTGTGTTCTTCTATCAATCAAGTTTTTTTCACAGATTACTGGTGTAGGAACTTCCAAGAGTTAGGATCTTAATCCATTTTGAAATCACCGATGAAAAGTGACTTTTCTGTGTGGTTTCTTGTTATCACTATATGCCCTGGCATTGTAGGTATCCAAGAATTACGTACACCCCCTTGTTGGTGGGAATATGTTTCTTTTGGGGTTGTGCAAAAATATATTTAGGTTGCACTGAAGAAATTTCATGGAGCTGGATTGTGAATTGCGTCAGTTCTGTTCCGTGGTAACTATGATTTGTTCGTTGACTATACCTTTAGTTCTAGACTTGACCTTAAGGTACTTATTGCTTGTTGTATCTCCCAATTGTGGTGGTATGCATGCAAGTTAACTGAAAATAAGGGTGCTTGGCAGTTCAAGTTCTTTGTAGCACTAATCGCAAGTCATTTAAATTTCAGGGTTCTGCTGTTTCTTTTGTAAGTTTTATTTTTTCGGGCTAGATTTATTGTATCTATATTATGTATTCCATAGAAGCATTCTGTAAGCTAAGAGCTCTATCCATTAGCTAATGTGTGAAACTATAGACTGCAGCATTTTCCTGATATATGACATTAGTTTCAAGTGCTCAATTTAGTGTGTGCTTTATGTGCTCTGAGCCTCTGTTTTTCATGGAATTCAGTTTTTCGTGTGATTTATTTTTTTATCTCCCATGGTGTCGCAAGAAAAGTGATATGTTTTCTGTTTGGAATTTCTGTTTTATTTTGTTGGTTCTCCTCATAAATTTGGATATAACCATTAACAAAGTTTACCTAATTGCTGTATGCACATTTTTCCAAGGTTATACTTTCTTTTGACTCTTGCTGAATTTCTCCTTAACCCGACTGTAGGAATGAAAATTAAAACTGATACACCTATTGCAAAGAAGGCAAGAGAAGGGGTTATGGAATTTCTTTTGATGAATCATCCACTCGACTGCCCAATTTGTGATCAGGGGGGAGAGTGTGATCTCCAGGATCAATCTATGGCTTTTGGTTCTGATCGAGGTCGTTTTACTGAGATGAAGCGATCAGTGGTTGATAAGAACCTTGGACCTTTGGTCAAGACGGTAATGACTCGATGTATTCAGTGCACAAGGTACAAATCTATTATTTTGTGCTTGCAATTTATTTTAGATTAAAAATTTAAGATGCAGATTTCTATATGAACTGGTTGCAAAATGTCGGCGTGCAGTTTATAAGTATGGTGTGAGAATTGTATATTTTATCATCACCTAAAAAAATTATACCTAAATATTGGCAAGAGTAACACCTCATTCTAACCAGGCTAAAGATGTACATGCAAGTGCTTAGTTGATGTTCCTTTCGTCAATTTTGCATGTTCTGGTTAAGTTTCTCAATTAAAATCTTGGCTATCAGTGTGTCATGTTACCTTACTATAGCTGTTATCTTTGTGACGACTATTACTTTCAAGTTTCCATATAGGTGCAAGTTCTTGAGTGCTTTTCCTCTTATCATATTTATTAGTAAAATGTAGGATCCTGCAAGACACATAGCTGATCCGTGTTTTTTCTGGTCAAATTTTGCGATGGAACTGTTGGCTATTAGGGTTGTGATTCCTGATATCTTTGTGTCTGTAGCTACTTTGTACATCTGTTTAAATAAAGGCATAACTGCCCATAAGTAATTTTGAATTGAAGATCTTGTCATGAGGGTCCGGGAAATAGTTGTTCAAAATATTGTTCTCACAGCTCTAATTTTAAAGAATAATTCTTCTATTTATACTTGATATCTCATATGTGGGAAATATCTCTTATACATAAATTGGTTGACTGGCAATGTCTCCGGTCGAGAAAATAAAAGGACTATATTTATAATCAAATAGTTCTCAGATTACCAAGTGTAGTGAAAGTAGTGTCCTTGCTGTTTTATGTATTATCATCTTTGGCGTCTTCATGCTCTATTAGCTGGTGCGTCGTGATTTTGGAGTAACTTCGAACAAATAATATGTATTGACTTAGAATTAGTATCTTTAGATTGGACCATATTTTGATATGGAATTGGCCATCAAATAGGTGTGTACGGTTTGCGTCAGAAATTGCCGGTGTTCAAGATCTTGGGGTTTTGGGTCGTGGCAGCGGAGAAGAAATTGGAACTTATGTTGAGAGACTTATGACAAGTGAATTGTCGGGGAATGTCATTGATATTTGTCCTGTAGGAGCTCTGACCTCAAAACCTTTTGCCTTTAAAGCCCGTAATTGGGAGCTCAAGGGTACTGAGAGCATTGATGTCACAGATGCAGTTGGTTCGAATATCCGCATTGATAGTAGAGGTCCTGAAGTCATGCGCATTCTGCCACGATTGAATGAGGTATTCTTTGCTCTCGTGTGTGATGAATAATATTATTTTAATTTTTACCCTATCCTCAGAACATCATTGTTGTCTTTTGCTTGCATATTAGAAGATATAGCATTGTTTTCGTTTCAGCTTCTCTAGATTTTGTTCCTCGTATTTTTTGTTAATAAAGGTAATGACTGACTCGTCAGAAAGTTTGTTGGATACGTGCTCCACATATAGAAATTGAATCTGTGTTCGACGTAGTAATCAAATGTTATCATAACTTTGAGATGTTCAATTTGCAATATTTGCTCGTTTTTTAAGAAGTACATGTATATCGATTCATGTTGCTGGTCAAATTTGTTTTTAATTATTCTGATGAAACATATACTTTATGGCTCGACTATATAGAGCTCTGTTTGCCCTTTTGTTCATCTTTCTAAAACATGATTGTGCTTGGTTGGGGCTCGTGCAGGACATCAATGAAGAATGGATATCAGACAAGACACGTTTTTGCTACGACGGTCTGAAGAGGCAAAGGCTAAACGATCCCATGATTCGAGGTGCAGATGGGCGCTTTAAGGTTGTGAGCTGGCGTGACGCACTTGCTGTGGTTGCTGAGGTCATCCACAAAGTTAATCCGGAGGAAATTGTTGGTGTCGCTGGCAAGCTGTCTGATGCAGAATCCATGATTGCACTAAAGGATTTCTTAAACAGGATGGGTTCGAATAACATTTGGTGTGAAGGAAACGGCCCTAATCCAAATGCCGATCTACGTTCCGGATATATTATGAACACTGGCATCAGTGGATTGGAGAAAGCAGATCTCTTCCTTTTAGTTGGTACACAGGTAAATTTTTTGCTTCCTTCCCTTCTCTCTATGTTAAAAACGGCTAACAGCTACGTACGTTCAACTGCTTTTATGTTTTCTTTCTAATGGACCAATTACTTTACTATGAAATTTTCAGCCAAGAGTAGAAGCTGCAATGGTGAACGCCAGAATCTGCAAAACAGTCCGAGCCAACAACGCCAAGGTCGGCTACGTGGGCCCCACCGCCGACTTCAACTACGACCACGAGCACCTCGGCACTGGCCCCGCAACACTCACCCAACTAGAAAACGGGACCCACCCTTTCTCCGCAGCCCTATCAACCGCCAAAAACCCAGTCATTATCCTTGGTTCCAACATCTTCAATAGAAACGACAAGGACGCAATCTTCTCAACAATCGACAAAATCGCCAAAAAATCGAATGCTTCGGTCAACACCCTCCTGGTCAACGCCGCCCAAGCAGCCGCCCTAGACCTAGGCCTGGTTCCAGAATCTTCCGGCAAGAGCATCGAATCCGCCAAGTTCGTGTACCTGATGGGGGCCGATGACGTGGACTTGGAGAAGCTTCCGGAAGATTCCTTTGTCGTCTACCAAGGCCACCATGGCGACCGTGGGGTCTACCGTGCGAACGTGATATTGCCTGCTTCGGCATTTAGTGAGAAGGAAGGGACTTACGAGAATACGGAAGGGTGTGCTCAGACTACTGTCCCTGCAGTTCCTACAGTTGGTGATTCTCGAGATGACTGGAAGATAATTCGAGCGCTGGCTGAGGTGGCAGGGGTTGGATTGCCGTACGATAACCTTAGTGGTGTCAGATCAAGAATCGGGACTGTGGCGCCAAATCTTTTGCAGGCGGACGAGAGAGTGGGTTCCACTTTTTCGAGTTCTTTGTTGAGGCCGGAGGTTAAGGAGAAGATGGATGAAGAGACGCCGTTCGGAGTTGCTGTCGAGAATTTCTATATGACTGACGCGATTACTAGGGCATCCAAGATCATGGCACAGTGCAGTGCTTTGTTGTTGAAGAAGTGAGCGAAGTTGATTTTTATTTTCTTTTTATTTTTCGGGATAACTTTGAATAAAAAAGGGATGCCATTGCCATTTTTTTTCTCTCTCTTTCTATTTAGGGGGTGCAGTTTCTTGGATTTGATGTATTGGGGGGCTGAAATGAAAAGGGGATTTAAATGAATGTACCTTTTTGTAATTGCAGTGCACAGATAGTATTGTGCTCATAAATGGCTGGAGTAATTTGTACCTTTTTTTTTATTGTAATTTAACACACTTTTCTGCTGTTGTGAGTTCAACAGCTTCACTGCTATTTTGTTTATATTGAACTTTTTGAACTTTGCATTTCATTTTGTGCAGTTTGTCAAATAAAATAAAGGGCAAATTACGACCACCCCCTGAGTTATTGTCAAATTATGAAAACCCCTCTCTTGTTTGGGTAATTACAATGACCCCCCTCAGCTATGTATTATTTTACGGAAAGACCCCTCAAGAGGTAAATTTAGGGATGTTAATTCGGTAAAACCGAACCGAAATTTCGATACGCCAACATTTCATACTTTTTACCGAACTGAATATACAATTTGGTTCGGTAAATAATCGAATTACATAAATTTATGTAAAAATATTTAAAAGGAGGGGGATGGCTGTAATTAATGTAAAAATATTTAAAAGGAGGGGCTTTTCGGAATTTGGCCATATCTTGGGGGTGGCGGTAATTTGCCTTAAAATAAATGGGGTCGGCTGTAATTTAAAATGATTTTCGTGTTTATTAATAGACGACAATGTCAAATTTAAAAAAAATACACTGATTGTATCTCATCCCGACTTTTTCGGATCAACCTTCGAAAACGCAGAGATGCCAGTCCGATCAAACTCACTCTCCCAATCCTGACCGTCGAATTGCCTAATCTCAACATGTTTCAACGTCCCACGATCGACGCACCTAAAAGTAACCGCTACACCATCGGGGTTCGACCTTGGAATATAGAACGAAGTTATGCCACAAACATTGCAGAAAATGTGCTTGGCCGTGTGAGTGCCGAACGTATAAGTGGTCAAGAACTTTCGGGAATCTTCATCGAGCTCGAAATCCGAAGACGGGACCACAAAGTGAATGTTCCCCCTCATTGAACAATCCGAGCAGTTACATTGCCACGTCACCACACTTGGCGGTGCTCGTACTTTCCATCTCACCCTTTTGCAGTGACATCCACCATTGTGCATGATTGCCTCAGACCCCATAATTTGACAAACCTTATAATATCTGCGCACGATTATATTAATCGACTATAACACGATTTAGCAATTCCGCATTAAAGTATAATCGAACATCTTTTAGAGCAAATGAATAGAAACATGCAAAGTATAATATTATAGTAAGCTACAAAAACTATGTACTAAAATGGTTTACAAGAATACGATTATTGCAATTTTTCGGTAATTTTAGAGAAATGCCATTAAAAAGGAATAGCTGCAAAAACTAATTTTTCTCCTATTTTGAGTTCGTTATCGAACATCGATTTGGGATTACTAATCGTTTCACATAGCTCTACCAAATATTGTGAAATCAACAACTAGTAATGAAAAACATGTACGGCTCGTTTTCAAGAAAGAACACTCTTTATCTAACTATAAGCTATTGAAGAAAAAATGTTATCTTGCCGAATGATAGAACTCTCTTTTACATACTATGCTTCCGAAAATGGGTACGAGTTAAAAATACTAAATTTCTATAATATATTTTCGTATAAATTTGTTCAAGAAAATATGACTATCATTATCAATGACATGAAATTGATTACTAAATCATGTAAAGAAATTGAGGAAGCTACAGAAAAATTCTGGGATTTGCAATTGAAGCACATTTCTACCTTTCCGGAAATTACAAAATGGCCCCAAACAAATTTCCAGCAGTTGACTTGTGTATGTGCAACATAGCTCACACATTAATTAAGCTCAATTAAGTAGCTGAAACTGAAACTGTGCATCTACCAAATTATTAATAATTAATAAACAGCAGGATTAAACTCAGATTAATTTCTAAGGTTTTGGGTTAAGAATAACTATATATTAATTCAGTCATTAAAAAAAAATAATAGAAATTATCAAGATTAATATCAAAGAGAGATGAAATTGAGATACCTTGTAAAGGGGCAAAATTGATTTGGATCAGAAATAGCCTTAAAACTGCTTTGAGATGAGAAAGTTGAGTACAAGGTTGCCGCTCACACGTGTGTAATGTAATGTAATAAAACAAAACAAATTTATGCTCGGTATGGTTTTTTTTTTTTTTTTTTTTTTTTTTTTTTTTTTTTTATTATCTTAAAGAAGCAGATTTCAATTTATTAATTAAATAATGACAAATAACCCTTCTTGCATCTTTAAATTACAGATATCCCTTCATATTTGCGTTGCGAATTACAGTTGTCCCCTTCAACTAACAGTATATCAAAAATCGTAACAAATATAATGAAATATCTAAATTGCCCCGAGTGAATTTTTTTTTACCAATAGCCAGTTGTATATATATACTCCATCCATTCCTAAATAATTGTCACTTTTCACAAATATTAAGAAACTCAATAAATGTATCTTGATTTTAGAAAAATCATATAAAAATGACTAAAACAACCTTTAATATTTAATGATTTATAAGAGAAAATTAATGAATAGAGTTTCATTAATAAGGTTAAAGCAGGAGAAATACATTTAATGCAGTAATGAAAATCTAAAGTGACAGATAATATGGAACAAAAATATTTTTAAAAAGAAACAGTTATTGTGGAACATAGGGAGTACTAAAAACACTTTTTATTGCCGTGTTGAAATTGAAGAAGACATTTAGGGTCGAAATCCGACTTATTTGTAAGTTCTAATACAAATTCAATTTTGCAATCATCTAGGACTTTGTTGTGATTTGAAATTTTAATCGGTAAATAAACCTCATACAAACTTAGTGTTGACTCCTCGTATTCAAACTCCAACAATAACTCCGTAAAGTTCATTAGGTGTAACATAGAACAAACTGTATTTTTATCGTTGCCCGATGAGTATTGCTTGCACATTATGTGAATAGTGTGGGATGCACCCCTATGCCATAAGTTTATTGTTGACGTTCACTGCAAATAAATTTACCATCAACTTTCACCCGATTTCAGAAGTCACTGCTATATTTTGTTAAAATGTTCAATTTACATATGATCACTGTCATTTAAAAGTTGGTGTCAATTTTCAGAAGTTTACCACCAAATTTATAACTTTACGACATAATATGTTAAATTACTCACTTTTTATAACAACTTACTCAATATTCGTAAGTCTATAATCATATTTTGTTAATATATTGATTTCCAAAAGTTAACTTCCAATTTTTAGTAGCTCACCGCCAATTTTCATAAGTTTATTAGACAAATTTCAAACGTCCATTGCCACTTTCATAGATATACTTTCATATTATGTTAAAATGATCTAAGAAAAAAGAAAATAATGTAAGAC